AACTCAACTATATCAATCTCGCGATAAAGCTCGTTCCATCTAATTCGATAATCGTTGCCAACGCGTAAGAGACCTCTCGAATGCTCTTAGCACCTTCTCATCACTGTTGGTTATTGTTTAAATTTCAGCACCATACAGCAGGTTAGGCATGAAAAGGAACTGTCGTGACTGGGCCGTATTTCTCAAATACTTGCTAAACGCTAAGTAAAATCTTTAAGCATGAGTGATTCGTCTTTAAGACTCTAGGCTACCGTCTTAATATTTTTACGAAATATTGCGCAAGCATGGTTCAAATCTAATTGTTAGATTATCGGTTTCAACATTAGATTCCAAGAAATCACACGACAAGGAGTCATCCTGCTTAAAAACTTGTTTAGTATCAAACGGCTTGAGTAGACTATATTAGAATAATTAAACGTTTAGTAATGCAAAAGACTCTTCTATTCTTTATACAATTGCCTAAAAAAAATATTAGAATGGATCTGGAATCATATTTGCACATATACCTGCGTCATTAAATATATGAAATAATGCGTTTTAATGATTCTTGGGATGTGTAATAAGATGTAATCCCATTAATTACGACTTTTAGCATTTCAAATTCGATATTTATACACGTATGTTGAATAAATGTCAATACTTACTCAACCAAACTTTACATTATATAAGAGAAAAATTAATTAAATATAAATTAGGATGTTGCTGATCATATATGTTGCATTACTAATCCACTAATTATATAAAAGTTCCTCTTGACAACACTTTTTTAACTCTATACTCTATTTGCATATTTAAATATGCTTATCAAAAACTATTTCAATAGGCCAGCACTTTGCTATATAGACATGAACATATCTTAATAACTATATAAAAATGATTCAACCTTATTTAATTGGTACTTAAATATTAATATATTTGCATTATCAACAATATTATTCTTGCCATATTAATAACTAGAATACATGAATGATTTATTTCATATATATTTAAAAAAAAGGAATTCAGAATACGATATTACCTGAACAGCTGATTATCCAAGCTCCTTCATGTCTGAATGAATTAATAATAATAATGAAGTATCTCATTGCGCTTATATGTAAACCGTAGTAATGAAAATCAATTCATCAAATTGTGGGTAAATATTTATAACCGATAAATGCAAATTGTATAGAAGCAAGACGTTATAATTTTACAAAATTTGGCACACAGAGGTTCACATTAGTACTGAACTTTCAAAAATAGCTTTATTTGATATGAATTTGTTTATACTTCGTTTCAGAAGTAGTTAACCCTATCTATCTCAACCACTAACAAAACTTTTTAATTTTAGTATATATATTTTTTAGTATTATCTTTAAGTAAGAAATAATAATTATCCAATCAATATGTCCAAATAAAGCTGTTAAAGAAAAAGATAATTTTTTAGAGTAAATTAAGTTTTCAGTTTCTTTCAATATGTTGTACTATGTTATAGTATATATATATATATGTACTCTCAATGTGAGATATGCGTATCCTTCAAATTACATATTTACATTTCGAAAAAGAGTAAAAACGAACTGCACTTCAAGTACACTTAAAAATATCTAAAATTACATTAAATTGAGCACATTTCTTGCGCACTTTCTACACTTTTTTCTAACTCAAATAACAACCAAGAAGAGTCCTAAAGTGCAACTTCAAATAAAGTTTTAAGATAAATCGGTTTTCTATAAACTTGTGTGCACATAAGCTTCAATGTTAGTTTTTAGCTCAAAAGTGCTTGTACAACGAAATTACAAATTGCAATTGTATGTCCTTCTAAGGACATAAAATATGAAGTAAATTTTTATTTAATTTGGAATTAAACAGTTTTTCTTTTATCTTTTTTTCAGAACTTAAAAAATCAAATCATGACGACAAATGTGTGGGTGGAACAGGTGAGTGAAAAGATTCCTTATTACTACACATAGTTTTTCATTACTGATTCTTGGTTATTGATGATTGCAATCCAAAAAGCTATGTTATGTATCATAAAGACATCATTATTAATTTTAAGGAATATAATAAAGTTGTGCGGAATGTTCATTGTCATAAAGATTATCAGAAGTTATTTAAAATTGATAGCAAATGCTGTAGCAAAATTTTACTAACTGAAAAATGTTTTACAATAAAATTTATGAAAAAAACTTCTAAAACCTTTGAATGCATTTCAACTTAAGTCTCCAATTCCTTTAAGTGCATTGGAATTGTTGATTTTCTATCTGGTAATCGGTGCTAAATTTTTTACAGCATTTTAAAAATTGCTGGCGACTTCACTGCTCAGTGCGTGCTCAGTGGATGCCGCCATAAAACGTTAAAAAACAATCATAAAAATCGTAAAAAACAATCATAAAAATCGCGAAAAACAATCATAAAAACTATCTTAATATAAACATAACTATTTTATAGAGAAACTGTCAAGTTTTAAAAAAGGATTTCGAAAATATTTCAACTTCCTTAATTAATGTCAATTTTAACAGTTTAACAAACTTTTAACTTAACAGTCTTATGAATTCCTTTAGGAAAAGATTTAAAAAAAACTTTTTACTACAAATTGCAATCACTTAATATTTATATCAGCAAAGCATATGAAATGACAAAAAATGCCATTGGCTTTAACCAAAGCAAAACACTACTTTGAAAACTTACCCACACATCTAGGTGATGAGCTACCCAGAACTCTGGGCCAGTATGAAAGAAATAAACAGGGAGAGGAAGAATTTTTTCTGTCTGGTGTATTGGGAAGATTTCACTGGACTCAGACAAAGCAATGCACTGATCAAACCATAATCCCACTAACGGGTTTCATTATGAGTCTTTTTGACCTGAAATATCACCTACATTAACTGCAACGATCTACTAATCCCGAATGCAGATTAAGCCTCGGAGATAAAGAGACAACTAAGTATATTCTTTTTGATTGTCTTGGTCTAAGAACGCACAGAAGAAATTTGTTTTATATGGAATTTCAGTCACCAGTACAGAATAAGAACTCTTCACCAGACTTAATTCAGAGCTTTTTCCACATAGCTTTAAAGGGCTTTATGTAATTAGAAGTCAAATTGGTGCAATAGGATTCTTTTGGCTTGAGTTCCGACTGTTGAACGACTTAACGTCACTAGTTTTAATTATAATACCCACAGACTCTGAAATCATCTACGACATTTGAAGTAATTTATCTGTTATTAAAATGATCTGTTGCTATAGTTGTTGGGTGTTGAAGAATCTCCACATAATTTATAATTAAGTGTGATCGCAAACTTTATCAAAGTATGAAAAATAATGTGGTTAATGCGAGGAAAGTATAGAATAATTAAAAATTATTTAGTGCTGTTAAAAAGTAGTCTTAGATTATGTCCATGGAAAAAAGTTTACTCTTTTAATAAGAAATTGCAATTATAAAGGATGTAAAATAATAAGTTTTGCGTATCTTTTAGAGAATTTCTCCAGTAAACTATATAATGGATTTTAAACCTTAATTGGTCGACTTTTGCTATGTCTGCCAATTGATCAAAGTAAAATCTGCCAAGGAGTTAACCCTTCCTTCGCCTATGGAAAACTAAATACGATTAAACAAATGCATAACCATTTCTTCCGGGTTCTTCAAATATTCGGATTTGCGTATATTATTCGCAATAAAATTAATCGAAGACTTCGTGAGCAAAAGTCAAGGGAAATCACAAATTGAAATGGAACGTCCATCACACAAATAAACACAAATTTTTTTAGGGTTGATAGAACCGAATACGAATAGCACTTGTGTATACCAACCGAGCAACGATCTGTAAGAATGGATGTTAATTTATTATACCGAAGTTATTCTTACTTTAATTAAGAAAAGCGTCTCTTGTTTTGTGTCATATTTTCAGCCTGACATATAAAGTTTGTTCTGCTCTTCAGTCATTTTATGCTTTAGCAGCGACTTTCTAACTAATAAGAGGTTTAAAGAAGTGAATTGGAACACCCATTTTAGATTTAATTATTATACGAAAATGCAGTGCTATTTCGTGCCAGTGAGTTAACTTTAAAATTTCTGGCTTTTAATGGCTTGCTTATAATTGTAAACTTTTTTTGGCAACTGAACCTGAATCTCGTTTTCAGTTCAATTTTTTTAACCAGAATGTTATATAGCGAACGAATACAATGCAATCTGTGTCATGAAAAAATGGAGACCTTAAGAAGACGAGATGAGTAACATTTTCGTTATGGATCCACAGCTATCCCCGCAGTCGCTCAAAAGATCATTTATCCCATTATGTCCACCAATATAATAGGCGCTTTTCATATATTTTATATAGTATGATATATACTTCGTCTCCCAGATCTGCGAAAATTAATAATATGAGATGTCTGATGCCAATGCTGCTTAGGTTTTTGACCATACTTTTATCCAATGTAATTCTAAAATTTTTACTCTGTATTTTACGGCTAACTGTAAACAAGAAAACAGTAGAACGGTTGCTTTCATTTTATTCTTATGTCCGAACAATATTAATTCCATTCCAGTTGTGACAATCTCTAAATTTGCAACAACTGAATATGTTATGCAGATATAGAGACCCATATTATATTAATTTATAAAAGTGTTACCGTATAGTGGAAATACTCGAAGCTTAAAACCACCTAAAACCTTTGGAAAATCTTAAAATGTTGTTTAGTGGAAGATCTTGAAATTCATTAAGATTCTCAAAGAAGGGTACCCCTAAATTATTAAGTCGCCGCCGTGCTTAAGCTGGGCAAAGACAAAGCAGTTGAATGGCAGTTTTATCGTCTTCCCCACTGCTGCAACACGTGTAATTAAAGGCGAGATTCAATATTCTTGCATGGTTACCTAATCTACAATGTCCTATAAATAAGACAACCACAAGACTGATATCTCTAGGGAGTAAATTAATGAGAGAACTGGATTTCATTTTAATGGGACATGGTCAAATTTTATACAGATACCGGCATATCGTTGAGTTTTCTCATGTTTCATATTTAAAAAGCTTAGCATAGAATAAACTCGGTATCAGTTTGTATGATGTAAACGATCTGTCCAGATTGTTTAGATGTTTCGAGTGAAATTCTGAAGCACCCCTTCTGAGTAGCCCGTCTACTTCACAAGTGTTGAAAATATTCCTATGACTGGCACCCCTATGAACTGCGTTGACGTCTCATTTAAATGTGAGATGCTCATTTACATGTGTGGCAATCAGAAACTCTCTGATAGTATATATATATATTCCTGTTAAATATATCATTCACTTTCAGACAAGTTATAGTTTCCCTAATCCTTTCGCTTGAAAAACACTACAGTGAATCGGAAGATTTGTTTAGTTTCTGCTGCCTACACCAGTACTTGTTTTAGATTATGGATTAATTTGTGGATCTAAAGTAGGACAATAATGTAATCATTAATAAAAGCTTATTTTGTTTTTATTTTTACATATCGGTCAGTTTAATAATTAAAAATATATTTTTCTATTTAACAATTCAACTTTAACCAATTTTGCTTTAAAAATATTAAATTACAAAATTTATATACAACAAAATTTTATTATAAAATATACAAACAAATTAAAATGCATAAAAACGACAAAAAACGATTTTTTTGTTATTTATGCAAATTTAAGCAAAATGTGTTAAATTTGTTGAAATCTACTTAATTTATGAAATTCATGCATAATTGCTTAAATATGTAAATTCAATTCCCTTCTACAATTTAATTACTATTTTTGGTTTAGTTTGTTGTTTTTCCAAACAAAATTAAAAAAATATTTGGTAAAGCCTGCAGATTACAAACCATTTAGCGAAAAACATGACAAAAATACTCGAATCAGCAACAGAATTATTTTTACATAAATGTATCTAAAAATTGTGTAGATACTCGTAATTAAGCTCGCGAAAATGAGTTGTGGCAATCGTGCTTAATAGTTACTAAATAGGTATAAATAAATATTTACTATTAATTAATATTTGTTTATATAAATATTTTTAATTAATTTTTAGGTTTTGACTAAGTTTCAGTCAAAAATAAAAATATATTCGAATTCCATAAGTGAATAAATCCTTAGATACTCAATAATTGCAAATAGTTTAGCTGGTTTATTTTAATCTAATATTTCATTTTTTTAAATTTATTTTTAATTTATATATTTAATATATTAATATTATATATATTATATATTTATATTAGAAAAAGTTTAGAAAAATATAATATATACAGGATTAAACGATTGAAGTCTTACCTTTTCAAGCGGCCTTATCTTCTTTGTGTGAAATAATTTTTTATTTATTCAAATTGCAAAAATTTGTGAAAATAATCTAAATATCAAAATTCATTCACTCTAGCTCGATATGGCTACCTTTTGCCTTCATCTCGACTATGGCATTCAAACCGTTAAAAAAATCAGTTGCATGCACATCTATACTGGCATATTTTTTAGTCCTCACCGTACTCTCCAAAATAGTCCAAACGGAAAAATCCATTAGATTTAAATCTAGCGAATTCGAAAACAGTTGTGTGGACAAAATGAAGTGTGGGACATGATTTTTTAAGCATTCTTAGTTCACACGAGCTTTATGAAACCGATACCGGTCCCGACTCTTGTTGGAACGTTCATAGTCTACGACTGAAATGTTTGCGTGCCTACGACTCTTAAGCAATTTCTGAAACATTTTCTCGATTTATAGCGATTTATGGTGCAATACACAAACATTTTATTCACTTTGAAGTGTTTGAGCTCACGAACAATAGCTAGTTGTGATCTTCTACCAAATATAATACAATATTACTTTTAAATACCATTTCAATTAACTTTTGTTCTATGAGACTTAGAGGTAAATGAATTTAATTTGTATTAAATTCACGTTGTTGGCAATATCAGATTGACTGATATACCTGTGTGTAGTTGGTAACACTTCAATCGCCTTGTATTTAGTGTACTTGTTTTAACTTTGAGTGTAATTCAGACTTATCTTTCAGAGATATGAACTAAATTTGTTTAAGAGTATATTATTTATTTTTTCCTTATATATATTCGTTACATTGTCAATTATGCACATAGAGATTACACATTACACGTTTATGATACATAAAGCATTGGGTCCAATATACTTCCTTGCGGTATGTCTGATTTTATCTACACATTATACATATTTGTTTGTGTATAATACTTCCTTCATAATTTTTAGTTATTAAGTCATTCAAGAGGTAAAGTCATTTCCGAGGGTTTAATAGATTCTAAATTTGGCGATTTCTGACTAAAGATTCTCTGGCGAAATATCGATTAGTATCAAATCTATTTAATAAGCTACTTTATAATAACTATCTATAACACATTGATTGTTTACTGAATATCATTTATAGTATAGTATTTTTCATTTGCTTACAAAGTATAAATATTTTTTCAAAATAACTGGCGAATGTCGTAATTTTGGCTCAATACAACAAGTCAAGAAAATAATCAAAGTTCAAGAAGAATTTAAGATAAATAAGAAATAGAAAGAATCAATTCAATTTTAAAATATTCATAAAGCAACACAATTGTTCTACCATGAAAAAGGAGGGTTTTGAAATAATTTCCACAATCTTCGTGCATTTAATTTTTCATTCAATATAAAAACTTATAGGGATTTGCATAAACATGTCTTAGAACACAGCATTGACAAAACCAGCTTATTATTCAATAAATATTTTTAACATATCGATAATAGATTTCTTTCTTAATTTAATAGTAATGAAATGGAATTGGCGATAAACTGAGAAGGCGTGTTGGTCCAAGTTATACATCAAATTATTCAAATAATTACTTACACTTTGTATAATAAAATGTTTTCAAAATATATTATATTATTAGAATTGATAAAAATGTTATAATAGACTATGGATATAAATGTCTTATGTCAATAAATAATAATAATAACAAAACATAATAAAAATAGAATTGATCTATTAGCCTGTGAAGACATTATTTTAGAAATTGTTCCGTCGTAAAATAATATATATATAAATATCTTATTTAGCTTATTTATCTGAAATCTTTTATTTACTTTATTAGGAATGGAATGACTATAAATTAAAATGGAATCCAGATGATTATGGAGGTGTTGATACATTGCACGTGCCATCAGAACATATTTGGCTGCCGGATATTGTGCTGTATAATAAGTAAGTTTATTGAATAATATATTTAACATATTAATTCAAATTATTATTGGAATTGTGTATATGGAGTTATTAGTTCTATTTTTGCGTATATTTAATACAATTTGAAATACACGACATATTGTCCGATAAAAAAGTGTTTGAATTTCTAATCCACTGTAGTGAGTTTGCTTTCAAACAGCTGCTCTAACGTAATTTTCTTGATTAGAATGAAATTACAACCCAAAGCCTAATTAGATTTTTTTTAAATCTTTTTTTCAAATATTTGAGTTCTCATAAATTTGTTAATGTCGCCAACATTTTACAGGCTTAATTATTAGCAAAATTTGAGTACTGAAGTTTACTTGAAGCATTTGAAAATACATAAAATTTATGAAGAAAAAATATTTTAGAATCTAATATAATACGCCCTGCCGTAGTAGTGTAAATACGCGCCAAATGAGCAAATGTCGCCTGATAACAGGCATTACAAGAACTCTTAAAATACCTCCATAAATAAAGAAACCAAAATATAAAAGCTAACAAAATAAATGGAACCAAAACTAAATGATATTGACACCAGCCAACAATGAACAGCAGCAGCTACCCCAGCTACCCAAGCAAAAACTCCCAACCATGATACTACGAGTGAGTATCTTACTGCAGCTGATGAAGAGCAGCGGATGGCAGTGAAGAAGCAGAAGAAGTGAATGGTGGAGAAGTGAGGGAATGGATCCCCTTATGTCACACTCCTGCAATACTTAACGCACTTGAAGCGCAATTTTAATACTGGCACTTGTACTTTAGCGGCTTTGTATTATCCTTATGTCCTTTTTCTCTTTCGCCATCTCAACTTTTTTAATGTTCGGTGCCTTCTACGATACGAGCTTGAAGACGAGGATTTTTCTGCTTTTGTTTTGCTTTGTTGAGGCGTTTCAGCGTCATAAAAACTTGTAATTTATTGCTTGAAAAAAGCTTAAATTTCATTTGCCAACAACAAAAGGAAACTGTATCCGGATCCGAGTCCGTAAAAGCTGGGAGTTGACTGGGGTGTGATGTGGCAAAAACAGCACAAAATGTTCCCAGTTAAGAAAACAAAGAAATAAAAATTGCGACAAAGCACTTCGTTTGCTGAAAGTCGACTGGATGCTGTGTATAGTCTGAATTCCAACTTTTTATTCTGATTTAATTTTTGTCCTGTATTTTCGCTATATTTTCTTATATTTTTTAGTTATTTGTTTTTTTTTTATTTATTTATTTTTTTTTTTGTTTTGTTTCTGTGGTAAGGATAGACTTCGTATAAATTGTAACCAAATAATGAAGCCATATATTAAAATTAGTGCAAATAAAATGCCTGGGAATGAACAATGTTTTCCCATTTGTGGAATGAGCCAAAATTGTTAAGCAGATTTGTGTATTGTTAACGAAAACGCAATTTAAATTTAATACGATAATTGCAGGATTTTCGTAAATTATCCTTTTTAAAATATTTCTGTAAATTTTATGTAATTTAACTAATTCTCTGTTTTATGTTTGCTTTTAAAATTTTTTGATATCTCAAATTTGGTGTAATTTTCTTAAGTGTTAGAGATGGAATTGGTAATAAAAAAAAACTTTAATAAATTGGGAAGAATTTTTATTTGATTCATATGAATTTCATAAAATTTCATATAATATCTAATGTGTCATTAAAATTTTTCCATGTGCATATGGTTTTTTTGTTAAGAAGTAGTTATATCTTCAAATGAAAAATTGTTTGATTTATTATCTGAAATATAATGCCGATTAAATTTAAGGTTGCTTTCAATGACTGTCAATGGCTGTCAAAATTAAAGGGAAAGGAGAGAAAAAACACTATGCCTGTTATATTATTCTATTCTATTATTCAACTGTTCTTTTATTGCCTGCTCCTAGGCAGTGAGAAACTATCTTAATATATTCATTAACCGAGTTCAACTTTTAATTGAATTGACAAAGCGGTTCTTCGATTTGAAATAGGAATATCTTTACGAAAGATTTCTAAGACATAGTATGCATTTAGCTGTTATAATTCCTCTTCTGGAACTACTCAAAGACAAAATGTCTCTTAAAAACAAATATCTCTTAAATCTGGACAGAACATAATTTAAGTTACTTCATTTAATTTAAATTATTGGAGTGATGACATTCATTGCCTTTTAAATAAACGTAAGGTGCGGTATACAGACTATGTGCGGGTGACACAGAAACATCCTGACGTATTTTTGAAGAACATCCACTTTTTAATAATATAAAGGAAAAAGTTACCACAAAGAATATGTCCATAAATTAAAACTTTTTTGAATAAAGCATAAGTGAAAGACATACTTCAGTGATTATGAATAGAGCATGGATACAACACTTTTTCAATAGTCGCAGTGTTACAATCACCTAATGAGACTAATAAAACTGCCATATCCCAAACTGTAGTAGCCGTAAGTGCAAGTTTTCCATATCTCTTTCGTGATGGGATACTACTTGGATCTAGAATCGAAATTTTTATTCACACAATTAGTTCTATCATACGAGTAATATCTTGATTTCAAAATTCTACATATTTTAATTCATACAATAATTATGACTTTAACACTTAGTTCTGCTTAAAAACAAATTGACTATAACTTTTTGTAATTTATATTCAATATCTCTAATATCTATGTATTGCATATATAAATTGTAATTACAACCTATTGTCTGAAATGAATTAAGCAATTTTTGTCCAATGTTCTATATCTACTTAATAGAAAGAAAAAGATTTTAGAATTTAAACTATATATCTAATGAGTTGACAAAGCCTGTACCCATTAGGGACTTCTACAACGTTTTTATTAGAACTTAAATCAAACACGACCACACAGTTTGAAGTACAGTTCTTTATTGAATTATTATTTTTGGGTTCTTACTCTACCATGAACTTAGTAATTTGATTCTTGTGTTAGTACGTCGGCAAGCACTAACACAGCAGAGTAGCATGCAAACACTTTATTATCTCAGTAGAGTGAGGTTTCATATTGCAGCAGTCTGGCTGCTTAGATATGGTAAAGTCGGTGATGGGATGGTGCTGCATGGGCATATTCACAGCACTATACGTTAGCCATACAATATTATTTATATGCACATTAATATGCATTTATACAATTATATATGAATTATATATAATAATTATATACATATATATATAATATATATATATATATTATATATATAATAATTATATACAATTATTATATGAATAGAATTATATGTATGACAAGTCTATACATGCTATACTTCGCTTATAGAAAGATATATAGTATATATACAATATCAATATCAATATATAGTATATCAATATTTAGTATCAATATATAGTATATAGTTGTTTACAACAACAAATTTAATTCTAATGTATTAATTTTGATAATAACTAGTGCCAGTACTGTCAATAATATCACTTTGATCACATCTATTGCTACTATTAAAAAGCAATGTATTATATTATGTCCTATTATAGTATTAAGATTTTATCTACTGCTACTATTTAAAACCAGTGTATTTCTTTAGAAAATATTAAGGGAAAGGAAAATTAATTAAGGGCATGGCTATAAGGGAAAATTTCAAGAGACAATATTTGTTGTGTATTATTGGAGAATACTAAAGTATAAAATGACTATTCTTATATTACATCACGCAGTTTTGACGGAGAACTATTATGCTACTCTATAATTTAAAATGCTTTGAGATCAATTTTTAATCATAACAATAAATTTTACAACTCTTAATAGAGAATAGATTGTGTCTTCTTATATTACTCAAAGCTATTCTGTTATCAATATTTAATAGGAATCCACTATAAACAGCTTAGTTTGTTTGTGATATATTTCAACCTGTAGCGCAGGTCTATCCAATATGACAAAATATCATCTTTGCATACAAAAAGACGAAATGTCTAATTGTATTCTTTGTGGCTGTGTAGATTTGCTCTCGCACAGTGTTAAAAAAATCTTACCTCAGACTGTTATTAGAAATTTTTTAACGAAAGTTATTCTAGACTTCACACGTAAGGCGGATTACGTTCTGATCGTTTATGGACTTCTGTATTTAATTGTTTTATTTATTAAATGAAAAGTTGAACATCAAAGTGCAATATACCAATCATAAGAGTGTGTGTTAAAACTTTGGACTATATTTCGTAAAATCGTTTAAATGCTAATATGGAAACCAAATAGTTTGTCATCCACTCATTTATCCATATAAATTAGTCAACCTAATCCATCGAAGTATCACAAACTATAGCAGATGATGTTGTATATTTATACAATATATTTTTTTTATATTTCAAATTCGCCTTTCTGACACATTATTTTGTTAATATATGCATGAAATATTTATAAATTTTTTATTAAAAACTTTTTATAGCTTCAATATATTTTTTTGGTTGGGTAATATGTTCACATCTGTAAAAATTTAAAAATCAAAAATTTATATTAAATTTGCATAGATTTCAGAAGTTATTTGTTATTTGCATGTCAATAGTAATATCCAGTGCATGGTGCATGTCATAAAAAATTAATATGTTACTAATACGTGCTGTAGGATGTCAGATAATAGACAACACTATTGTATATACATTTATATGAATTTTAAAAAACAAAAGAAAACTATTGATATTATTTTTATCTCTCTATACAATGGTATTGATGCGCTTGTTCAATTATTAAAACAATGCAGCACATATGAGCTAAATACATAATCAATTTCATATAATACTCGTAGTCAAAGATATTTCAGTTATAATAAAACAAATAAATAATAACAATTTTATTACGAATACAATATAAATAAGTAAAACAATAACAAAATAATGTACATATACAGCATAAGCTGGAAGAAAAAAGGAAATGCAGTTTTTTTCAGTTTGGAATCAGTTTTAACTAGCAACGCCAATAAAACTGTTTTTAACTATAGTTTTTATTTAATTGGTATAGAAATTTAAAATATACTTTTTGTGTCATCACCAAAGATAC